CCCCAAAACCCCAAAACCCCAAAACCCCAAAACCCCACATTATGAAAATTTATTTGAATTTAATATAAATTTAAATTCCGATTCCGCCGAAATGGATCCTCAAGATGAGTCAACCTTTTGCGCTGAGTGCAATAACTGCCCAGAAGATATTTTGGTATTGATATGCAACCATAATTTGTGCCTTCCTTGAGCAAGCAAGAATTTGAAAAGAGAGTCTGATAAGTCTCAGCATACTTTCCAGACTGTGGTATGCACAGAATGCGGGCTTGCTACCGTATTAGACCCAGAAAGTGCTACCACCCTTATTTCTATGTACCATGAAATAGAAGAAGATAGTGTTCACTCCGTAAATCAAAGTAAAAATTATAAGGAAGTAAGCTCGCCTCCACAGGAGAGTTTGTACACAAGAGACCTACCTAAGCAAAGCCATGATTTCCGGGATACATTCCATGCTCCTCCAGTTCAATCTACTGTTAGGTAAGAAAATAGCTTTATTAATTTCTTCTTAATGAAGCCCTTCTAAATACCTTAATTAGTATTTGGAACATTATTTCATCAAATAAAAAGTTTGGCTTTGAAAAGGCCGTAATCTATCCTACCTCAACTCTTTTGTAGCCAAGAATCAGAAATGACTTACTGCACCGAGCATCCTGATGAGATGGTTAATTACTACTGATTTGAATGTAATGTGGCAACCATCTGTGCTGAATGCGTGATCCATGGATCCCACAAAGGACATGATGTCCAAACTCTTAGAAAGGCATACCCCCTGATTTGTTCTAAACTTGAAGACCTAAAGGGAAGTGTCAATTCTAAAATAGAAGAACTTATCCAATCCCAACAGAAGCTTGATTCTGGAAAGAAGGAAATCCTCAGCCAAGTCAGTTCGATCAAGAAGAGGATCTCTGACACTGTGCAGGAGCTCAAGGAAAATATTGATAGAAAAGAACAAGAATTGCTCAAAGAAGCTGATGAATTCCAAGAACAAAATACCAAGCAAGTAGATCACCTCCTTAGACTAGCCAATGGAAGAGCTATGAACCTGAGCGAGCATATTCAAACCATTAAGCAGGCTTTGACCAACTATGATTTTAAAACTGCTTGTAACTTCTATTCTAAGAAGTTCTCAGAGATCAACGAATCTAGTGATACTGAAATTCCTCAGTTAGAGTCGATCTCAAGACAAGCTAAAAATAAGTTCCAGATCAAATCACAGAACATAAATGATATTATTGAGAGCCTCCAAAACTTTAAGCTCAATCTTGGAGGCCTAAACTTAAAGATGAACCCTCTGGAGGATATTTCTAACAAAAGGCAAGCTGCTAATTTCGAGGAAAGACCCAAGGAGACCCAGGGGCTACCTCAGAACTTATTCGAGCTAGGCTACAAGGCAAACTCAAGTTTAAAAACCTCTGTTGCTAAGACAATGAACAAGATAAAGCAGAATTTTGTAGATGATTCTCCTCAAGATCATCAATTTTATGACCCCAAGCCAACGAAGGGTCCTAGTTTCAGGAACACTTCATCAGGAAGTATCCAGAGAGAGTAAGTTATCTCCATTTTAACCCTTTTAGACATGTGATTTATGGTGAAGAAGAAGATGACTATGAGTTCATGTATAAGTAATTCAATATTTCAACATATTTCTCAATCTATGGGGTTTTGGGGTTTTGGGGTTTTGGGGTTTTGGGGTTTTGGGG